TCTATCCTTATACACTTTCAGAAACTTATTAAAAAGCTATCAGAGCCATGATTTTAGTAGTGCTTTATTGAAGTATAGATTGACAAAAAATTCTTTATCCTGAGTGTGTTTTAAATTAGAATGTGTCTGAAGTCTAATATAAATATTTTGGTGCTACAAAATGATAAAATGATGTTTGGTCAGTAATTAGTTTCCTCATTTGTAACAAGAATAAAGCAAAGTTCACAAGGAAAACTATAAGGAATGACAAAAGTCGATATAACAGTACTGCACAGTGAAAATAAATGATAGTTATGATTATTACTAAGATAGAAATTTAAGAATGAATGTAAGCCGGACACGGTGGCGCCTGCCTGTAATCCCAGGGGCTTGGGAGACTGAGGCAGGAGCATCACGAGTTCAAAGCCAGTCTCAGCAACTTAGTGAGGCCCTAAGGAACTCAGTGAGACCCTGTCTCTAAATAATTTTTTTTTTTTCTTTTTAAAAAGGGATGGGGGCATACATGGCTTAGTGGAAGATACCAGAATTTACCATTCAGGAGTCTATTTATCTTCTTGAAATGTGTACCAGCAGAGTTAAGTCCCTTGATTTTTTTCCAATACTGAATCTAAATACATTCTAAAACTACATTAAGGAAGGTGAAGTGAATGCAGTATTTTTGTAACCTCTAATACTTTTCAATTACATATGAAAGCTACAAAAGATACTGAGATAGGATGTTTTTGGTTTTGAAACTCTCATATATTTCAGAAACTTCCAACTTTCTTAACTAGAGCTATAGAAGCAAGATTGAATAACTGTTTTAGAATTAAAACTGGGAGGTTTCTCACAAAGATCTTGAAATAATATATCTAGCATATGCTAAAATTCTAAAACTAATAAAAAGTAGATATTAATCACTGGATAATAATGAAATCATATGGTTAGGTTTGCTTGAAATTTGGTAGAAATGTGTAAAAACTCAGAATGATATTGTACAATGATTTCCTAATAAGCTTGAAAGATATCCAGTTATATGAGATGTAGATAGAAAAAAGTATTTGGGGAAAAAAATAAGTCTGGAGAATTTGATTTTTTTTTCTAATTTTGGTAAGGAGAGGTAAATTAATGAAGTGTTGGATATCTTCAAAAAAATAATTATACTTAGCAATAAAAATCCAGCAATGGTAGTCACATACACTATTTTCATTGTGTTAAATGAATGAACTATAAACAGAATAGAAATCCGTAGAATACAGAATTAAGTGAAAAAAAATTTATCTTTTCTATATTAATAAAATACAGCAATATCCTTCTTAAGCATGCATTATTCTACCTAACAGTATTCATTTAGTTAATATAAAATTCTTTAGGTAAACCAAAGTAAATATATGACCAATACACTTGTGGAATACAATTAAGAAATCTCTTTACATTAAATTGCAGGGACCATTCTTGTTTTTTCACATGCCTAGCACAGTGCCTGACAGACAGCAGATGCTCCATAGATGTTTAATGAATAGCTAAGTACAATCTGTTTTGCACATACATTCAAAATCCAGACAAGTTTGCAAAGGTACATATGTTGGACATAGGCTTTCTGGCTGACTTCATGGGGTCCCATTGAAGACTAGGAGTAAATCTTCATATCCATAGAAAACTGGCAAGTTGATAATTGTCTGGGTAAGGACCAAAAAAACAAAGTCAGGGAAACATGTCACCTAAGTAACAGTTGCTTTATAGAGCTGGTAAAAGCGGCCTAATAATTCCGTCAACCTATTTGCACCATTCACTCAATGAAGTGAAGTTTAAATGCATCTTGAACATTTACATTTTTATGTAAAATTTTTTTATCATTGCTTATTCAAAAATCAATCACGTTTGTTAAATTCCATTCTGTGTAATGATTAGAAGTGAATAGGATTTTAGTTACTATTAGGAGTACTACATCATCATTGGGTGTTTAATTTGGCTGTTGATTTTAAAAAGTGAGAACCGCAGCAGAGATTTAAAAAAAAAAAAAAATTCTCAAGAAAAAAGTTTTCATGGTAGTGAAAATTAGAGGGAGAAAGAGAAAAGGGAGGAAGGAAAAGGGAATCTCACAGTTGGAAGTAAAGAAATTCAACTTTGTCTAATTCTAAACCTAATAAAAGATTTATAACAAACAAGCAGTAAGTACACCAGGCATTGTGCAGAAAGTAAGGGACTAAGTTTAAATAACACAAAAATATTTTTATTTAAGTAGTTCTTTAAGGTAAGACTACCATGTAAACATTTACAATACGCTGTGAATTTTATTTATTTTTATAAATATGAGTCTTTAATATAAGAGTAGTAAATATGTTTCCTAATTGGAAGTTTAAGAAAAAACAGCATTAGAGAAAGCCAATATAATTCTCAAAAATATTAACAATCCACAACAAGTGAAGTTAGTATTTCTCAAAAAGATCAACAACAAAGAATTAATTATAATAGGACAAAGTTTTAACACTATTTACTTTACTATTCTCATAAAATGTAAAACTCTTAAGTGCTGTATGTGGTCTTGTACATGACAGTTTCATTTCTGACAAAGAACAATGAGTAGTTAGTACAGTAAGTGTTAAAGTTCTCTGTTCCCTGTACTGTGTCCACTCAAGGCATTAGAACCTTGGGCAAGTTCCTCAAGCTCTCTCAACTTCAGAGGTATGGAAAATGAAGCTGGATAAAATGACCTCCAAGATACTTCTAGTTGAAACCTTACCATCCTAAAATATCAATAATTCTTAACACTTAAAAAATAAACCACAATAAAAGATTTCTAAGCATAAATCATTATCAAAAGTAGAGAAAATCTGAAGTCTTCCAACCTTAAAGGGTTAACCTGGCAGTGATAAAATAAGAAATACTTTCAAATAAAACAGAAACAAAGTAAAGGTATTAATCAAGGACTGTCAATTTTTACTCAGCTGCCCACTGTGTGATGACTACCCCAATTACCTACACAATTCACTTTATTAAAATTGATTTCTTCTCTATGTTCTACTGTCTGTCTCCTATGTTAAGGTTGCTGAGGTTTTAAGGTAAGGACAAAAAAATCTCAGGTGGACCTGGAATAGCAGTATAGATGTGTGGAGGAAAAACTTGAACTTGACACAAATTTCTGCTTCAGTGCATCAATGACACCTCAGAGAAAGGCTAGGAAACTATTCAAATGTATAATAGCAATGAGAGAAATAAGACCATATTGCTTACTGCTACACAGCTCTTTTTTCTTTTTATTATTTTTTTGTTATTGTTATGTATAAACGTCTATTTTTGCACCCAGTTGGTAATTACAATTTTATAGAACAAGTTTCTACATATGTAATGCTTTTCAGTCACTAAAATACAAGTATATTATGTCTTGGCTTTACCAACCAGAAAAGAAGAAAGTATCATAATGTCTTCATAATATTTATGGCAAATATCCTTCTAGGTTGATATTTCTTCAATCCTTTCTAGTTGATCAAATTGCTGTTTTCATATTGCCAGTTCACAAAATTGCTGCTTTACAGAAGAATATTTTTTGTTGACATAAATTATGGCAGAGATACCAATGCAGATAAAAAAAAGGGGGGGGGGGGTGTATGTGTATGTGTGTCGGGGAGAGAATGAGAAAGAGAGAAAAAGGGAAAGAGAAAGGGAATGTATGTGTGTATCCTTCTTCAAGGAAAGGATAAAGAATGTATATAAAACAAAATACCACTCCTAATGTAAGACCTAGTGTAAGGCCTACATCAGAAACATACTTTCTAGCATTTGTGAAATAAAGCACTGAATGAAAGCTATTCACTATGAGCATACCATGTGAAAATGGAGAATAGTGATTTTTATCAAGATTGTTGCTCTATAAATCTAAACCTGGATTTACCTTTCAGTTTATATCTAACTATAATATACTAACTACAACTTTGTTTTCTTTGATCCATGAAAACATATTTTAGACATTTATTTTCTTTCACATATAGTGAACAATTTGTTTCAGTACCCCAAGAGATGAAAAACTCATCTCAATTTACAACAGTAAATAAATAATTCAGTTAAAACTGAAAGTGGTACCAATCGGGCAAACTATTGATGGAGAGGTTTGGCCTTCCATGTAGCCAGAACAACATAAAGTTTTCAATAGGGATTACTTGTTCAGACAAGTTACAAGGATTAGAAAAATACTCAGTTAATTGTGAAATAGCTAATATTCTCATCCTATATGGAAAATAAATTCCAGAAACATATGTGGGTAAGACAATACCAGTGGCATGTAAACTTTAAGCATTTTGAGCTCTGCACTTTATAAACTCATATATGAAACAAACATTTAACAACAAAAAAAAAAGCAATAATGCAAGTCAAAATCTAACCAAAGGCCTCTAAACTAAAAATTTGAAAATTTCTATTCAACTCAGATCAAACGAGAAATGGAGAAAATAAACCCATAACGCAAAAACCAGTCAAGTCTTCCAACCCAAAAGTCAATATCCAAATCACATACAGGACCAAAAAGGGGAAAACACTCAGGTCTACAAATGGATAGGCAGTTCCAATACAATCCAGATCCCGACATTTTCCCACTCAGAAACAAATGCAGTAGAGCTTTTCCTGGGCAAAGAGAAAAAGCTCTCCAAATGAAATTTTTTTTAAGTGACATCTAGAAAGTGTGCCTCTTTCTGTCTCTTTCCCTGGCGCCTCATTGGAGGAAGGAGGGGGGGTTGTTTTTGTATTCTCCCCCACTAGAGCAAGGCACAATCAGATGTTAGCTGAAGAAGAGAAACCACTTTTGACAACAGCAAATAAAAAATAAAAGTGCCCTTCCTCCCCTGACAGGATGGGCACCCCACCTCACACATCCCTCCTCACTCCGACCCCTCCTTCTCTCACCCCCCCTGAGCACCACCCCCTCCTCACCCCGGAGCTCCACTGCGTATGTGGTTTGGTGCTACTGTTGCCCCGGAGTGAAAGTCAGAGCCAGAGGAAGGCAATGAATCCCCCACAAACACACTTACCTTTCCTGCCCCCCACTTTTGAGTGCCTTCCCTGGAGCTGTGGAGGATGACACAAAGGGTAATAAAGGGGGGGGAGTGGAGGAGGAGGAGGCGAAGGAGGAGGAGGAGAGCTGGGGAAGTGGCTGCTCCTGGGTGTAGTGAGATGTCTCCAGCCAGGGCCAAGCAGCAGTAGCAGCAGTAGCAACAGCAGCAGCCACAGCAGCAGCAGCAGCAACAGCAAAGGGTCTGTGTTGCTAAGAGGCTTTTGGTCTCTTTCTCCCCTCCTCTCACGGCCAAAGAGAAGGAGGGTGGAGGGGGCTCGGGAGGGAAGCGAGTGGAGGGGTGAGGGGGTAGGAGTCGTGGATGGAGGTTTTCGAAGAGGAAGAAACTCCTTCTCCTTCTCTCTCAGGCTCAATCCCCCTCTCAGGGCTCCGGGCTGGAGGGTGGGGGAAGGAACTCAGCCGCCTTCCCCCCACCCCCCTCAATTCAAGGTTGAAGTGGGGTAAAATTAGTGTCCTGTCCCTTTAAAAATAGAAATAAAAGGTGCCCCCCCTCTGCCACTGCCTCTCTCTTCATCATCAGCTGCTGCTGCTGCTGGGGTCTCTCTGCTTGGGGGGGGGAGGGGGGGTTCGGGTAGAAGAGACGGGAGGCACTCACTGCGCATGCCCCTCTCTGACGGGAGGCTGGTTGGTTGAAGGGAGGAGGAGGGGGAGGGGAGGAAATGAGATGTTTTCCCAGAAGGCTCCGAGGCACGCGCGACCCGGAAGACATTGTAGCGGGGGGTAGAGGGGCGGGGGCGGGGAGTAGGAGGAAGTCGGTACTCTTTTAACATTCCCATCTCCCTCCTCCCTCCGAAGGGACAGTGGAGGAACGGAAGTGGGCGTGGACGGAGGCGAAAGGAGGTCACGTGTTTGAGTGGGAGGCGGGTCCAGGAGCTAGAGGCGATACGTGCGCAGGGCATGCTGGTAGTGGTTGGTTGTGTACGGCTGGCAGCAGCAGGTGAAATCAAGGCGAGGTGGCGGCGGGACGAGCTTGGGAAACGAATTCAATAGTCGCTGGATTCCGGCATTGCGCTGATAAAGGCAAGCTAGCAGCGAGAGGTAATGTCTATTAGACTGGCCTCACAATGAAGGTCAGGCACGCCAGCGGCCAAAGAAGAATCGAAAGTGGTAGGGTGGAAAGCTGCAGCGAATATTGGGAAGGGGCAGGCTTTTCTAGGCCGGGCAGGCCAGAGCGAAGCGGGATCTGTCTGTCTCCTGGCCTCCCCATGAGCCTGTGGACGCATCCTGACTAATGCAGGGAGTGATGAGGATACTGCCTCTGCAGGGGATTGTAGGTGAGGTGCATCGTGGGTTGGATGTTGAGAGAGCAGTGAGATATGTGGGACCTTGGCTGCGAACTCTTAAATAAGACTTTTTCCTCAGAGCTGGCGACCTATTTGGGGAATTAGAAGCCACGTGTGTGAATTTTGACCAGCTGCATCGGTAGCATTACTTATGTTGGATGTTGTGCCCTTCGCACCTTACCTTGCAACCTTCTCTGGAATTTTGGAGTGGCTTTGACACAGGATCAGGCAGGGAATACTTGAGTGGAAGTTCCCTCCATATTTAGCGTTGTTGCTTCCTCCCGTTGTGCCTGTTCTTAAGAGAGTTATGTGTGGGATTGTGTGTTCCTAGATGTTGAGTTTTATAACTGGTAAAGACAGAAGGGATATCATTAAAATTTTCCCTTCCAGTGTAGATGGGAAATTTTTCAAATAGGTGCCTCGTCTTTTCTAGAGAAACAGCGATGTCTTTGTGTGTGTGTGTGTGTGTGTGTGTGTATTTCAAACAATCTTTATTGAAAACATTTTCATTTTCCAGCTATAATTTTTCGTAAAGATATTTTGAAGGATCATTATTTAGGTATTCCTTTTTTAAACAGAAAATAAACCTCATGTTTAGTGTGTTAATGTTATTTATTCTATGGTATGGATTCTTTTACCTATCATTTAAACTTACTGTTTTTCTATGGTATACTTCCCAAAAGTTTTGGCAGTGGACACTATTTATCCATCATGCCTAGTGCTTATTACTCTCTCTGTGTTCAGTAATTATGTCAGATGGGATCAAAACTAAGATGTTCCTTTACTGGAAAACCTAATTGTTTACCACATTGTAATAGAAAGATTATATAGCAAGATAATTAATGTGCCTTTTTTTTTTTTTTGTAGAAACTAAATCTTTGGAAAAGAAATCATATGTAGTATAATGAATAATAAAGTAAACTCTAACCACTCCCCAGTTTCAGAACTGGAACATCTTTGGAGCTGAAAGTACCCCAGTGCACACAGTCATGACCATTCCCCCACGTCACTGATTTTTTTTTGTTGTTGTTGTTTTTATTTTTGTTTTTGAGCCATTTAAACCTCTTTATTAGTTTACTTAGCTCAGGCATTTTTTTATACCATCAGAAACAGACTACAACAGAGGCTGGAAGAGTTTTCAGGGACAGCTGAGAAATATGGACGTTAAAAATGATTCTAGTGATCTCAGACAGAAATGAAGAACATAATGCTAGAAACTAGAGGAAATGTGACCCTTGGCATACAGTGGCAAAGGACTTGGTTGAATTGTATTTGTGTTCTAGCATTTGTGGTTGAAAAAACTTGCAAGGGATGAAATTGGATAGTTAGCTGGGATTACTATGCAAAGTATTGAAAGGGCACCTTGCTTCCTCCTGATAATTTAGGGTAAAATGCAAAAAGAGAATGAAGTAAAAAAAGAAGTCCAAGTCCTTGATTTTAACATCTTGATTTTTATGGTAATTACCTACTGGTTTTAATATTTTTAAACTACCTGTGTCAGCATTCCTAAACACTGTAGATTAGCTTGTAAAGGAATTGCATATTATGTATCTTCTATTATTGTTTTTTTGTTCATGTTGCTAAGATTTGACCCTGATAGTATGCTTAGCAGTAGTTCATATATTTTCACTGTGGTATAGTTATATTATAGTATATTTTTAAAAATAAGCCACAAATAATTTAATTGTTCTAACATTAAAGGACATTTGGATTGTGCTCAGCTGTTAGTAATCATGAGCAATGTCACAATGTGTATTCATATACATGTATTCTTATACACATAACCCTGTATTTTTGTAGATTATTTATGTTTATCATCAACTTCTAGATTATGCTAGTCTTTTCCACAATGGATATACCAATTTATATTTCCACAGAAGTGTATGGTATATATCTTTTATTTCTGCAATATTATTCCTAATTTTTGTATTTCATCAAGCTGATAAATGTACTTTTAGTTTCTGTTCTAATTTACATTGTATTTATTATATTATAATACAACCTCCTGATCACTAAGGAGGTTGAACCTTTTTTTTCTTACATACATAACAATAGTGGAGTGCATTACATTCAAAATTATCCATTCACAGCACAGTTTTTCGTAACTCTGTATATAGAGTATGTTCCCGCCAAATTATGCCATTATACATGAGCTCTCTTATTTTTTTTTGCATTACAATTCTTAATACACCTTTATACCACAATTTTTTATATCTCTGTATATAAAGGTATGTTGACACAAATTCACATCTTCATACATGTATTTTATATAATGATGACTGTCTGCTTCCACTGTCCTTGCTATTCCCCTTCTCTCTCCCTTTCCCCCTACCCCTGTTCCCTATCTAGAGATAATTTTCCACTCATGCTCTCCCTCCCTAGCCCACTTTGAGTCACCCCCCCTAATATCAGAGAAAACATTCGGCATTTGTTTTTTGGGGATTGGCTAACTTCATTTAGCATAATCTTCTCTAATGCTATCCATTTCCCTGCAAATGCCATGACCTTATTCTTTTTTAGTGCTGAGTAATGTTCCGTTGTGTATAAATGCCACATTTTTTAATCCATTCATCCACTGAAGGACATCTAGGTTGGCTCCAAAGTTTAGCTATTGTGAATTGTGCTGCTATAAACATAGATGTGGCTGTGTCCCTGTAGTATGCTGTTTTTAGGTCCTTTGGGTATAGTCCGAGAAGAGGAATAGCTGGGTCAAATGGTGGTTCCATTCCCAGCTTTTCAAGGAATCTCCATACTGCTTTCCAAATTGGCTGCTCTTTATATACCCTAGAGATTAGAGCTCTATCTGATGTGTGAGGGGTAGAAATTTGTTCCCAGGATGTAGGCTCCCTGTTCACCTCACAGATTATTTCTTTTGCTGAGAAGAAAACTTTTTAGTTTGAATCCATCCCATTTGTTGATTCTTGGTTTTAATTGTTGCGCTATAGGCATCTTATTAAGGAAGTTGGGGCCTAGCCCCACGTGATAAAGATTAGGGCCTACTTTTTCTTCTATTAGACGCAGAGTCTCTGATTTAATTTGTAGATCCTTGATCCATTTTGAGTTAACTTTTGTGCATGGTGAGAGATAGGGATTCAGTTTCATTTTTTTCAAAAATGTATTAGCTATTTGGATTTCTTCTTTCTGAATTGTCTTTGAATCATCTAATTCTATTGTGCAGTTTTTCTGTTTGGTTGTTTGTTTTACTGAAAATTTGTAGCAATGTGGCAAATATGTTCTCTGCTTTTAGCCTAACTCTTCCTAGATGATAATTTTGTCTACATTTAATTCCTCACTGACTTACATGGAATAATGGTTGTTACTTGAATTTTACATGTTACTTTAACTCTTGCAAACAAGTTCTCTACCTGCGTTCTGCATATTCAACTAGTAGCTGAATATGACTTTTGAGCACTTGAAATGTGGCTGGTGTGACTAAGATACTGAATTTTTATTTTCATGTAGTATTATATTTGAAAACTGATACTTTTCTGAGTTATTATCAAACCTCTGTTTGGAACAACTTGGATACATAAATTTGCTTCTCGGATGAAAATTTTATAAAAATATGGGTCAAATACTTTTATTATGACAATTTAGCATATGAAATTATGGTGTTCTGTACATTTAAAATGAACAGGTGATTTGGAAAACAGTATGAAAACAATGTTTATACCTCAACTTTTTGTTATGATTCTATGTTAAAATTATGATCAGTATTACCTTGTTTTGCTTTTTTAAATGTTGGTACTAGAAAATTTTCTATTATTTATATGATTGATATTGTATTTCTTTTGTATAGCAGTGCTCTCAACCATCTATGTTGAATTATATATTCCTATGTGTTTCCCACTTCTCTTTTTTCTTAATATAATCCTGCATTTCTGAGTCTTCTTTGGAGATCTTTTTACTTTTATTTGAGTAGTCTTTAGAAATTCCTTAATGTGCACACCCTGTTGACCATTTCTCTTAATTTTTTGGTTACCTTAGAATGTCTTCATTTTATCTTGATTATCTTGAATATTTGAGGGATAGTAAATTGTCTGATGTGTGGTTGTTTTTTATCAGGTTGATGATAACATTCCACTGTTTCTTTCTTCCATTATTAATTTTAAGAAGTAAGCTGTCAATCTAATTCTCAGTGAGTGCTTTAAAGGGAATCTCTCTTTTAAATTCTTTTCTTTGTCAGAGTTTTTTGCTATTTCACTGTGATGTTTCTGTGTGGAATTCTTTGTCCTGCTTTGGTTTCATTGAGATTCTTGAATCAGTGCATC